CACTTGCTCCTGGAGCTTGGACAGAGAGCTGGACATGCAGCATCCTTGGTGTGAAGGTGCAAAAGAGAAGCCAAGTTGGGGATCTTTTGAGAAGCACCATACTCCAGTTTGATGTGCTCAGATACACCAGAACTGATGGCAAACCATCAGTCAAATAAGACAGACATCTCCAGGGAATCTGAAAAGGAGAAATACACTTTGTCTGCTTCTTTAACATTTTTAAGCATGGAAAATATACTTTGAACACAAGGAGTGCTTTTATCTGTAACTATCAGGGCAAGCTGGACAAATACCATTAGCCATGACCTGAAAAGCAAACCTGGAGCCCCAATTCAGCAGAGCTTTTATTATACATAGTTATTGAACACATGTGTAAGCCTCATTGAAACTTATAAAACTTAAAGATGCCCTCACATTATTTGTTCAACAGGGATCAGCTCAGGGATGTGCTTAGAGTACTTCCAGGGTTCAAGGAACTGAGCTAAAATCGTTGTTCCTGGTCTGCCCTCTATTCTCATTAGTTATATACTCATTAAGAAAGTTCTTCACTTTTTCTGCATCTTCTTTTATAGTAAAGGCTCCCCACAACAGCTGTAGACAAGATTCCTCTCCTGTTTGAGGGCACATAATCCTTAGCATGGGCAATATAAACAGGCTCAGCTGCATAAAACAAACTGGATTTTGCTGGTACTTTTTCCATATCTAAGAAAACCTATGCTAGTGGGGGTTTTTTTAAAACATCAAAAACATTTGGCTGCATAAACATCCAGAAGTGGTTATATACTCTGTAGGGTTATTGGAAGTTAGAATAGTTGCTCATGAACATACTGAATGGATTTTACTGGTTTCCCATAATGGAGCCCAGGCTGGCATTGCTTTAGACATTTTAGTGCAGAAGAAATGTCAAGCATGCACTCATCCCCCTGACTGCAGTTCAAATCAAACAAACTGGGCTAGACAAGCTAATAACGAGCTCTGTTCACTCCAGAAAGGCAGCTATGGAAATATGCCTCATTTTATATATTATTACATGCATGATCTGAAAAGGCCACTGAAAAAGCAACAGGCACTGTTCTTTCTTTTTTTTTTTTTTTTCAAAATGACCAGTTTCCAGCTACTTATTTAACAAAAAAAACCCCAAACCAACACATTGTACTTTCAGAGTGGATGTGTTCATAATTCAGTTTTCCCTGTCATAAATTATGATTCATGTAACTAGAATTTCCTTGCTAATATAAATTGGGAACATATACGGAAACCAACGTTACCAAAACTTGAAAGTAAATTAGAGCTAATTTTTGGGGGTTAATTTATGAAGGCAATAGGACATGCCTTGTTGTTCGCAGCTCTAGTGTCAAAATAAAGAACAAGCACAATTTATAGTTTGCTTCTTATATGAAAATTAACATTTAAACTTTAATTTTTTTGCAGCTATATTTAAGAGATGGCACAAAGACAGAAGAACACTGTGAGGTCTGCCTGTCTTCAGGGTGGTTTGCCATTTCCCTTTTTAGAAACCAAAAGCCCCTTTTCAGCTGGCATCTGAACAACTTTACAAGGTTTCTCAGTGAAGATGGGAGGAAGGCACATTCCCTTCCATATACATCTCTCTATAGGAAATCAACTTGAAGAAGTCCTGGCATGGGTGGAGATGCCTCCATAACTGAACTCCCAAAATCCAGTGCCTTGAGTAAGTACATACTTACATATGTACCTCTTTCTCTCTAAATTCCTACGCCTACATTCTAAATATTTACCCTAGCAAACATTACCCAGCCTATGGATTCCAGCTGCAACCAGAATCGTGCCTCCCTCTGCACGGATGGCCTTTCCAAAGGCTCCTGGGTGCCCAAAGCATCAGACCCTGCTCTCCTCCAAAACAGCTTCTTATCATAGAAACACAAAAAAGGTCACAGGAACAGTTTGCAGCCTCTCTCAGCAAAGGGAATAAATGTGCAAACAAAGCCATTAGCAGTTTCCAAAATAAACCCCTATTCCTGGTCGCCAGGACCGCAGAGTGCCACATATGCACTGCACAGAGATGCCTGCTCACGTGTCAGCTGAGCAGCTGTGGAGAGCTGGGAGCCAAAGGAACAACGCTCTCCCTTCCACCTTAATTAATTATTTTGATTCTGTAAGCTTTAAAGCATTAAAGATAAGCACGGGGAGATCAAGAGAAGGGTTTTCGCCTCTCAGCCGACTTTATTGCTGTCTCCAATTAATACTCACGTACAACAGGTGTCACTTCAAAAAAAAAACCAACAATTAAAAAGCTGTCCTGGAGTAGCATATTCCTGAAAGGACACACACACAGAAATTACCAGGGAGCCATCTGTGCCACGAAAATTTCAGCAGAGATGCAGCGGCCAGAAAAAAATCAACAGCGGTGAAAGCAAACATTCTGAGGTGAGATAAGGCAAAAATGCTTGAGTCAGCACTAATAAAGATTTTTCCTGATTATTGCTTTCCTTATCAGGCTGGCAGGGACAATTCACCCCCCTTGCACTTCCCCGGTGCTCCAGGGCAGGCGCCCCTCTCTCCCCTTTGGCATCCCTGTTGGAATCACTCCCGCTCCCCGAGGCTGTCTCGTTTGTCTGTCGTCTCTCCCAAAGTTTGTTTTCCTGCTGCTATGGTTCTCCCGTTGCCGGTATAAACACCAGCAGAAGTCTCCTGCGTGACTCAGGCTCAGTTTGCTTTGGTAGGAACTCCTTGTCGCATCTGCAAGACCCAAGCCAGGTCCTCCAAACATCAACCTTCTCAAACCTGGTCTTGCCCTCTCCCTAAAAATTTCACGTGGATTTCGTAGCATCAAACCAAAGATTTATCAGGACACCATCCTCATTGTCTTTCTTAAGTCCCCCACTAAACCTCTTACCTTCAGATTACAGAGCTCATGGAGCAGAAAACACATCTTCTGGTTTCAAAAGCTCCTGCTATCTTCTGGCCAGAAACAAATAAACAAATCCATCTAAAGCCCAGTTTGAAACAAGCATTGAAGCAGCTGAGGAGGAATTAAATAATTGATAGTGACAGGTATTAATGGGGCAAACAAATTTACAGAGGCTGCAATTATACCCAGGTTGTACTTGTTTGAAATGTTAACTGTCTGATGAGACTTAACACCCAGCTAATGAGCTTTTAAAAGTAATTCCCACATGCCACCACCTTCCTTTGCTCACAGAAGGGAAGCAGAGTGTCTGGCAATTGCCGTGGCCATCAATCCGGGACTAGCAGCTAATCCTGTTTTATTACCATCATTAGCCAAATACATCGACCATCCACACAGCAGCTGTCTGCTCTTCCTCTTTCTCCCACTCTTCCTCTCCCTTCCTGCTCTCCAACCTCTGCGTCTCCACACATTAGATAATGCTGTCAGTCCACCCAGGTTACTCATTCCTAGTATTCCTTTTGTCCCTGATATCCAGCCCACTGGAAAGGTGTTCAGGTTACACAGCTGCCTTGTGATCCTGCACGTAAACCTCCTCCACCTGGAGCTCCAGGAGCTTCCCCACAGCTGCATGAAGTTCTGAAAGCTAAACCCCCCTTTCCCCAGGCTGGATGTGGCCAGTCTTCCCCAAAACCAGCTCCTACCTGGGCTTCCCTCAGCCATCCTCACCACTGCTCTTACACTTTGCCCTCTCCCAAACTCTCTGTGAAGATATCATTAAACTCGCACGAAAAGGGTCCGAGATCAAAAAGTGTGTATGAAAAAAAAATCCTTACAATTTGATGTGGCCAAAAAATACGTTTAAAATATGAAAGACTACACACTTCCTTCTTGCTTCTATTAAAGAGTCTGTGCTGGGGAGGGGCTGGGGAGGTTTGCAGCACCTGAGAGGTGAAAACCTGCAAAGATCTACGTCAGGAAGCAAAACTGGGGAGAGTAATCCATGAACATTCAGTTTACGTTATTTCAGGGAGAGGTGAGCGGAGTAAATGAAAACCATTGTTAGAGCCTTACGTGAAACACTTTACAGGTTTTATTTATATAACTTCAGCTGGTCCACGGACTTCTTTTTTTTTTTTTCCCCAAAAGGCTTTTCATTAAAAAAAGGTGGCTAAAGAGTACTGGAGTTATTTTACCTGCATGGTAAGGAGCAGGCAGCCTTCCTTCAGCCTGCAGAAGGAAACAAAGAACAAACTCACACCTGTGTCTCATGCCAAAGTAAGTAAACAAATGCAGTGAGTTATGGGACCATTCTCTCAGCTGCCTTTGCTTGTTTGCTTGCCCAGCTCCTTTTCTTCATGGCAAGGGGCCATTTTAAAAAATCCTTTGTCTGCTACTATTTACATTAAGATTTCTGTTTTACAAAGTGTGTCACGGAGAGTACAAACCAACATCTTCAAGCCCAGGTGTGCAATGCTGGGTTTCTCGGTGCGTGCTGTGCAGAGCTATCCAGAGTTCCCAGAGGAAAAACTTCATCAGACCATTTTTCCCTCAGGTGTGAGTTACCTTTCCTCCATTCTGAATGCCCCGGGCTAGACACCCAGTTTTTGATCCATTCAAAGCCTGCCCAGACACCTAGTGAGCCACCCCAAAAATTTCTGAGTCTATCAATCCCTGCTGGGTCAGCACTGATGATGCTATGCCAGGAATCCCAGTGATCCTGCTGTTGCCTGAAAACCAGGAATATCACCTGATGAGAGGAGAAGAGTAATGACTCGGGGGGACAGAAAAATACCATAAAATAACCTTACCAACGTCATATGCTAACTTAGCTGACTAAAAGCACTTTCTTCTTGCATTCTTCACCCGGCATCAAATGACAGAACCAATAATGTTATCATGTGCCAGCCTGCACAAGCCAAGCCTTGCTAATCTTTCCTCACTCATTCTCCCCGCGCTGTGCCGCAGCGTGCCGCCGTCCCAGGGAGCTGAATTGCCCCTTTGTTATGTCAGGTACAGTTACCAGCCCTGGTACAAACCCATTCCTCCTCCTTAGAGTGCCCATTGTCCCTGGTTGTTTACTGCGGGCGCTGTTCGCTCTCCGCAGCGCCGGGACATCTGGTGACTGGCAGCACTGGGCATTGCCCCGCTGCCCAGCATCCTCAGCAGGGCTCTGAAACAAAGCCCATCAGTGCCTGTTTGTACACCAGCATCTCAGATGAGCAGGGACAAGACAAATGAGGTTGCTGAAGCAGTGTCTTATCCTTCATTTCCTTCGTGGTATCGCAACCCTGGGTAGGAAACCGCCGTCTCCGTGCAAGAAATTTGGCTGAACATGAGCCAGAGTGTGCCCAGGTGGCCAAGAAGGCCAATGGATCCTGGCCTGGATCAGGAACAGTGTGGCCAACAGGTCCAAGGAAGTGATTCTTCCCCTGGACTCAGCGCTGGTGAGGCCACCCCTGGAGTGCTGTGTCCAGTTCTGGGCTCCTCAGCTCAGGAAGGACATTGAGGTCCTGGAGCAGGTCCAGAGGAGAGGAACGAGGCTGATGAAGGGACTGGAGCACAAGTGCTGTGAGGAGAGGCTGAGGGAGCTGGGGCTGTTCAGCCTGGAGAAGAGGAGGCTCAGGGGAGACCTCCTCACTCTCTGCAACTCCCTGACAGGAGGGGGGAGCCAGCTGGGGGTTGGTCTCTTTTCCCAGGCAACTCTCAGCAAGACAAGAGGGCAGGGTCTCAAGTTGTGCCAAGGGAGGTTTAGGCTGGATATTGGAAAGAATTTCTTTGCAGAGAGGGTGATCAGCCATTGGAATGGGCTGCCCAGGGAAGTGGTGGATTCTCCGTCCCTGGAGATTTTTAAAAAGAGACTGGATGTGGCATCAGTGCCATGGGCTGGGAACCACAGCGGGGTTGGATCAAGGGTTGGACTTGATGATCTCAGAGATCCCTTCCAACCCAGCTGATTCTATGATTCTATGATTCTATGGCTGACTGCATCCTACACTGGCCCAGTCACAGCATAGAAAGTGATGCTCAGGCAACCCAGGGCCACAGAGCAGCTTTGTGTTCTGTTTGCAATATATATTCTCACGTCACGTCGTGTGATGCAGCAATCCCAGGCCAAAACCATAATTCAAAACAACCGGTGGGTGGGGGGGTTTCAAAGTGAAATAGAGTGGTGGGAAGAGTTTTCAGACACTCAGCACTGGCCTCGGTGCTTGTTGAACCCCAGCTTCACCACGAGGGTCTGTGACAAGAGGCAAAGCACTTTGGAAAGCTCCAACTAATTTTCCTGCTTGATGGAAAGGGTTTGTGCAGAATTTATTGTCCACTGTGTAGAGAGGAGGAGACTGAGGAGCAAGGAGAGCCATAGGATGTGGGGTTGTCAAGGAATGGGGGAAAGTAAAAGTGAATGAATAAACTGCTGTACTTATTTTAGTTGCATGAGACAACCTTACAGACAGAAAGCCACAGGCATAGCCCTGGGGAGCAGCCAACCAAAACTCATCATGGCAGAGCAGGAGAAAGACATTATTAGGCAGAAAGGAGGAAACAGAGAGATGAAAAAGTTAAAGAACTGGGTCATTTCATCAGCAAGGTGAACCCTTTCCTTAATTTAACTGCATTTATACAGTCTGTAATTATGTTTGTAATTGTTTTATTCCTTACGGGTGGCATGATTGAAAAGCACATGGGAGTGGCTGAGTCAGATCCATCCCCCTTCCCACGGGAGCAGCAGTGGATGCCTGGTCCTCACAGCTCCTATCAACTTCCTGGGCGCTTTCTCAGCGGCTTTTTTCATCTGAGTCACTGCATTTCATAACTAGTGATGAATTCAGCCTTCGTTCGTTTTCTTAGTTAATTTTTAAAAGTGATTTCTATTTCTGTCCCACACAATATCCTGTGGCAATGAGTCCCACCATTAATTTTGTGGTGGACAAAAATACTTTTTCCTTTACTAGTCTTACCTGCTGCTTGATCTTTTTACTGCTTATGTTTGGTTTTATTGTAACAATCAATACCTCTGCTCTAATTACATCTGCCTTATAGACCTGACCAGGTTTCCCTCTCTCCTCCAGATCAGTAAGAGGATTGTTCAGCAGGCAGTTTTGGAGAGAGGATATTTCCTCAAGGAGTAGGCAGCAAGGAAGGAGGCAAAAAAAAAAAAAGGAGACATTAAGACTAAGGTAACGGAAAGACCAAGGCTGTGGGAATTGAAAAGGTGTGAGGCACAGCTTGGGGTTGAGTGATTGATGTGAGGTCTTTAAGCAAAGCCCAGAATGTGATGAGTTTCATTTTCATAAAAAACACTGCAGTCATTATGTGGTGGCCAGAAGGCTGTACAGCACTAAATATTGCTGATGTTGAAGACCTTCTTTTTAAGAGCTCAGATCTTAAAATATCATGTGTGGGCACCAGCAAGCAGTTATTTCTGGTGAGTGGTTACCAACGGACAGAGAGCCCAGCTGCCATAAACATTGCAACTTTATTTTCTTCCTTTGTACTGCTATTCCAGAAATGTGCCAAATAAAACACGTTCCTCCGAACAGACCCACTATTATTTTACGGTCTCACCATGCTGGGCTAGAAATTGCAGCGTCATGAAAACATCCTTTAAATAAATAATAAAACACGATATTCCTAAGACAGGGCCTTTCATCTTGAGGGAGCCTGCACAGCCTCAGCAACCCCCCACCACTTCCACTGCCGGGACAGGTACCAGCCCTCACCAACATCGCTCAACGCTCCAGGCAGCAAATGTGGAGTGAATAACGTGTGGCATTTAACAAGCAGTGCAAAGGCAAGGAGAAAAATTAAAAAAAAAAAAAAACAAAATCCAATTATCCTTCCTGGGAAGTGGGCCAAGAGGCTGGAGTGAGCACATCAGTGGGTCAGGAGCTATCAGGGTCCTGTTGCGGCAGCTCCCCGGGGGGTGGGTGACTCCAGCTCCTCATTGCTCCAAGCAAATTGATGAACTTTAGGTTTATCATCATCAACACCCACATCCTGGAGGTTTTGTGAGTGGTTTTCCTCCTGACATTTTCCTGGTCCTCCACAGAGTTCAAACGTGAGAAAGGGCGCAGCGTTACTGAGCTCTGTGAGCTTATAAGTGGCACTTGGGACATGGTTTAGTGGTGGACTTGGCAGTGGTAAATTTACAGTTGGACTTGATGATCTTAAAGGCCTTTTCCAACCTAAATGATTCTATGAAATTCAAATTCCACTTGACTTCCATGCTCTTCGTTCATCTGCAGAAAAAGAACTTTTTCCTATTAACACACCCATAGCCCATGAAAATACACACTGTGCCTTCTGCATCGTGGTTTACATACCACTGTGGGTCTGTTTCTGCAGAAGTAAAATTTTTACCCCTTAGATTTTACAATCTGAATTGCAACAAAGCAAGGTAATGGACGTAAAGGAATGGAAAGAATAAAATGAAACTCGAGACGTAGAAAGAAACACGTGCTTATGACAAATGTACACGACTTTGCCTGACACATTCAAATGAGTCAGCAGAAAAACAAACAGAGAAAACAAATTCAATGCCCAGTTATTAAAAAAAAAAATCTAAACTTTTAGACTGGTCACAGCTTTATTTGTGATCCAGACTGAGAAACACAGCTGAGAGCAGAACCTCAGAGCAAAATGCACCTCCCCTCCAGTGACTTACTGCAAGTGATGTTTTCTTGGCATGGCCTGCCTTCTCTGGGGAATTCTCCAGCCCCTATCCCTGGTTAGTGTGTTTGGGCACTGGGAACACCCCCAGATAACATTCACTTCCAGCTGGAAATCTGTCAGATCACTGAGATCACAGTCCCACAGGAGAGGTGAGAGGACACCCAAACCCTGATGAAGCATCAGTTGCTTCTGTGCAGAGACTTAATTTTTTTCTTAATAAAATAATAGAGAACTTGTGAGGATCACCTATTTAGGAGTAAGTCCAATAATTTTGCTCCACTGGACTTCATTCTAGGAGTTAAATCCATCATTCTGTGAGTGAAGTAGTATATTATGTGATCTAACAATAAACACAAATTTCGGTGATTACTTCAATTTTATTATCCCAGCAAAAATATGCCTTTCCCTTTCATACTTATTACACACATTTAGGAAAGAAAGGGAAAAAAAATGTTTCTTTTTTCATTTTACTCTTACTTTTTCTTTCAGGTGTGGAGTGACATTTCAACTAAGGAAGCAGACCAGAGGACCATTTCCCCCATCATTATGCAGAGAACAGAGGCTGCAGTTTTAAAATTTATCTGTTTTTTTGCACCAGTGACAACAAGAACAAGAAGACCATACCATAAAGCTCCTCCATGCCCTCTTTCCAAATTCTGCTGCAGCAGAAATGCCAGTAAAAATATCAGTTTTCTGTTGGGCTGTGTGGAGCAGTGTTCTCCTGGAAGCAGTGTGGAGGCTCCAGCTGCCCACAGGCACAGCCCCGAGCCATGAATGCTGCATGTGCTGCATACAAAATTCTCCTTACCTTTGGATTTGGAAAATTAAATGAAATAAATATGTTTTAAAGAATTCCCACTAAATGAATTCTCACTTTGGGAAATATTTGGGCTTGGGGTTTTTGTATAACCATAATAACAGCAATAATAGTAATAATAATTCCATTTGGAGCAGTGTGTCAGAGGGCTTCTCTTAGGAAAGCAGCCTGAGATTGATGGGAATGATACAGGAAGCACTTAGAGATACAGAATGAACGACCAGGAGATAAGGAGGACAGGAATCTGCTTATCCAGGGTTTGTGCAGAGGACCCAGTGCATTTTAATGCCCTGTTCATAACTAGTGGTGGGAAAAGCTAAATACACTCAGAACCTTTAATCACCTGACTGTTCTTTTGGATTAGGCAGGCAGCATGCAAGAGGTGGTGTTAGTGCTGCAGCAGATGAGATCTGCAGATCCAAGCTCACATTTGATTACAGGTTCAAATCTGTGGGTGCAAAATTAAAGGCTGAATTCCAACCAACTTTTAAAAGTTGCCTTTCAAGTGGTGAAACAAGAGCCTCCACCCATTCCCCAGCTGCCTGTGATTTATCTGGGCTGTAAGCTTGCCCAGCATCATTGGCAGGTAAAGAGGCCCTCAAGCCTGGTATTCGGGGCTAGAGAGAGTTAAGGGTACTTTTCCATGTAAAGTGAGTTTGGGAGAGGAATGCCTTGAATTTTGATGATATTGGCCTGGTTCTCAGCTCCAGGGCGGTAATGCAAAGCAGTGCTACTGCATTCCACTTGCCAGGCTGAGGAGCAAGTATGAGCCACAAGTGAGCAGTAAAGGCAAGTGATTAAACAGCAGGGCTGCCCTCCACCTCCCTCCCCCAGGAGGGTGAGGAATGATGCAGCAAATAATATGATGCTTGCAACAGTCAGGCAGAAGCTGAAACGTCTTTAAAAAAATTTATAGAGTCTCTTTTTGTTTCTGGTCTGTGAGACTCAGACAAAAGCTCTTTCCTTCACATTAGATGAGCTCTGCAGGATCATCTCCATTAGCAGACACTTTCAGAGGTGTACTCCCATCAACCAGCTTTACCAGAACTGGACCGGGACAATACCCACCTATTCTAAACCTAATTTTGAGCTCCTTGCAATTAGGAGCAGAAAGTAGGATGGTTTTGCAGGACGTTCTGGGAAAGCTGGGCACGGCTGAGAGCTGGCGCAGGAGACACGGCTTCTGGGCAGAAAGCTCTGAGGAGCTTTGCTCAGTGGTGTGCAGAGCTCAGTCTTTCCATTCAGAGGTCCAGGGCTGAACAAAATGCCCAAATCCTCTCTCACCCTGCAGAGAGCCACATGCTTGTTTTCCTGGGATGGGAGGAATAACACCAGAGGCACTGGGATGACAATAGTCCCTTCAACTCTGCAGCTCAGATTTTGTCTCATGGGCAAGGCTGGAGCTGGAGGAAGGTAGAAGCTCTCTCTAATCAAACCCAAGGCTACATTCCAGGTTTTAAAACACAGGTGAGACCCAGAGGGAAGCCTGCCCCAGTCCCATATAATTTCCTTGTGACTCTCAGCAGCTCTGCTGCTCCACTCCCCTTCCCTGCTGGCACACACACCAGACAAGTGCTGTTTTTCCCAGCTTGTTCACCATGCTGGCACATCAGGGGAAAACAAAACAGATAAAACTATTCATGATGCCAAGGGGAGAGAGACATCTCTCATCTCTCTGCCAGCATCCAGCCATGCAGCTCCAGCTGACTTCTCCCACCAGCAGTCTTTACTGCAGCAAATCCAGCTCTGCTTCACCCCTGTAACCTGGCTCCACTCCATGGGAATATGGCCTGTGTCCTTTTTGTTCTCCCAGGGAGAAGCAGAAATCCCTGCAGTCATGTGGGGGACACTGGCCTTTGGAAGGTCTATCCCATTTGATGACTTCCACTTCTTTACTGAGGATTGTCTGAGGTGCTGCTGAAAACCCCAAGGTAGCTTTTGGCTCCACAGATTTTAAACAAAACAACAAAAACTGAGTGCCACAGACCCAGGACAGTCAATAAATGCCTTATGTTTGGGGAGCAAAGGACTGGACCATTCACTGTCTTCCTTGTGGAGAGATTCACCTGTTCACCCCAAAAATGCTTTCCAACCCTCTGCCATCACCAAGTAATCCCTCATAGAATCACAGAACCACAGAGTGGTTTGGGTTGTAAGGGATCTTAAAGCTCATCTTATTCCACCCCCTGCCATGGGCTGGGACACCTTCCACCAGCCCAGGTTGCTCCAAGCCCCGTCCAACCTGGCCTTGGACACTTCCAGGGATCCAGGGGCAGCCACAGCTTCTCTGGGCAACCTGTGCCAGGGCATCACCACCCTCCCAGAAAATAATTTCTTCCCTATATCCAATCTAAACCAATGTTAGACTCCTGGAAACATGGAAGGTGGGCTAAGATTCCCCAGCCCTTAGATCTGCCAGTTTTATGTGCAGTGAAACCCACTCAACACAATTAATTCTAGAATCAAAATCTGAAATGCTTTCACCTGATGTGAATTTGGAGGCACTGGTAGCCAGGTGAAGGTGAGGTCCAGCATTTGCCACAGGAGGAGTATCTCTAGCAATCATTTCTAGTTTATATAAAGCAGCTTGATGCGACTCAAATCCAAGGATCCACATGAGCTCACTCAGCTGTTTTTATCTCTAAATGATGTACACCAGGAGGATAGATTTTTCCCTTTTCTCTTTCTTCTGTTGACATTACCACTGCAGATTAAGGCAAAGGTCTTTTAGGAACTAGCTCCTTTTTGGAGCTTGATTCTGATGACTCTTCAGTCCTCAGTAGCTTGAGACAGTCACTGGAAAGCCTCACCCTCAAATCCTGTGTTTTGATAATATTATTCTCTTATATCAGTGTTCCTTCAGTTTTCCAGGTAGACACCTATCCCAGGCTGCCAGCAGGCAGGTTAGGAATGCAGCAACAGAGCTGAAGGGGAGAATCACAGAATATGCCAAGTTAGAAGGGATGAGTGAGGCTGTAGGGAAAAAAAAACACACAGGAATCAGGAGGAGGAGTGGTCCCTCTGAGTCTTTCATTGGCCATTTCCTTGATACCCATTATGGCTTTGGTGACATGTCTAATTTCAAATCCCAATTTTAATTACATTTAATGACACCTTTCTTTCCTCTGCCCGTTCTCTGCCTGATTACTCAAGATGAGCCCAAGAGCCAAACTTCAAAATTACCTCCAGTTTCCAAACCACCTTTCACACTTGCTGTTAATACCATTAGTATTTTACGTTACTCCCATAGATACATCACCAGGCAAACATACACAGTCCCTGCCCTGCAGAAATTTTGGTGCAGGCTTGAGATGTGACAGGGAACAAGCCCTAACAGCACTGGGGCTGGAGAGAGTGAGGTAATGATGTGCAGGCACGTGCACAGCCCGGCTGGTTTCTGCTAAGAGATGAATTAAATAATTTTTTGCTGTTGTTGTTTATTTAATTATTGAACTCAGAAGAATTTCTAGCAATCCTCATGGGAGCTGGGACCACAGTTTCTGTTCGTGTCTATTGCTCATGTCTAAATTAAAAATGGAAAACAGATGGTGGGTTATTAGATGGCTGCAACAGAAGCTGACAATCTGTTCTGTCCCCACGTCGGCAGGGGAGTGAGTGCTACAATATGTGGAATCCAGTCCTAGCTGTGTGTCACAGGTGTTGATCCAGTGTCTCTGCACAGAAATGAAGCAGCCAGATTTACGTCCTCCAGCTCAGCTTCGTGGGCTTGCTCTGAAGGTTACTCACAAAGCAAGAGGAAGAGGATCAAAGGCTTGGGTTAATGTGCATCTTGAAGCTTCACCAAACTGAAAACCCCTCATTGCAGACAGAATCAAAAACCTGCTTTGTCTGTAGGAAATGGAAGCTGAGATAGTTAAATGTTTAAAAATCCAATATATTAAAATATTACCAAATCCTTTGTTTTGCTGTAGCTGTGTTATCAGCAGAACCAAAGAGAATGCTGGTGACAAAAGGCACAGGCTGAGTGAAGAAATCAGCCTTTCGGGTAGTAAGAAATAAATCAGGTTAACACCCAGGGAAGGGCAGTGTTGGACAGTGCCTGTGAGAGGAGGAGGATACAACTCGGGTGTGTTTCTGCAGTGAAGGAAAAGGAAAGGCTGAGCTACAAGTTTTTTTTTAATGGGTATGCAGTGTCTCCTTAAACAGCTTAGGGAACGAGATGTAGTGCCAAAATAATTTGTGAAATCATCCAGGTGATAGATAATCAATATTACATGCTCCTGTTAGATACATGTGGTACACAGGACTCACCTTGGCAGTGTGCATGCCTTGGGCTCCCTTGCAGACCAGTCACTCTTTTTGCAGGCTCCACATCCCAAGTTATCTTGTTGAGCATTTGACAAGTGCTTCAGATGTGAGATAAATCCCTACCCAGCACTGCAGGGACATCAATCATTTGGGAAACTTTTCCCAACCTCACCCCACCAGTCAGGAACATTTTCTGGGCTGAGCAGAAGCGACTCCAGACCCTCAGGGTGATGCTGTCCATTGGGGCTTATTTAGCAGAAACCTTTGGAACAGTGGGAAGGAATTATGATGCTGGTGAGGGTCTTGTGAGACCAACATTCAGAACTCACCTCTGCCCCACTGAGACACTGCACAAGCTGTTTAATTCTGCTTTTCAGGTCTTCTCTGTGAAATGAGAGCAGTGTGATTCTTCCTCCCAAAGGGAGGGAGATGCAACAGCAAGAGCATCACCACACAGCAGATGCTGCACAAGTGGGGACAATGATTGCTATAGCAAAGAGCTTTAAGTTATGAAGTCCAGTGATTAGAAGATGAATCCCTTTAAAGCTTTTTTCCTGGCTACCCTGTGGCTGATGGGCCGTGAGAAGCAGGTGGAG